GAACTGCCTGCTGGAGAGATCGGAGGCAAGGGCTCAGAAACAGGCACATGAGCTTCCTGGGCAGATTCAGGTCGCGCAGCTACAGGGTTACAGCAATTTTTTGCTATTTAATACACTGACAATTTAATATAACCACAAAAGTATCAGATCAAACCATAATCAAATACACGTTGAAGTTGCCTGACACACCTCATGTCACTGACAGGAGAACAGCAGAATTAACTCGTGGGGATTAACAGGAACAGCATACACCGAATGGTCAGTTTTAAACATTTATTTTTCCACTTGAGGATTTACTGTAAGTTACGTTGACTTTTTTGGTTTTACATTTACTTGAGATCGCGACGGTGATAAAAACAGTTCTGTACATTATGTGTTTTAACCACTCAGATTCAGGTGAACTTGTAAATAAGAGTAAGTCACTTATTAGTACGGATGCATCTTTTTCCTAGCAACAAGAGCGGTATTTCTCCTGGTCCAGATTAATTTTTACTTTTTTTTGACCAACTTTAGTCGGCTGTGCTGAACCACATTTATCTCAGTAAGAGAAGAAAGAACACTCACTCCACAAATTATTTATCGGTATCACCCTACTACTAGAAACCTGAGAAAGTCTAGTTCAGTCCTAGGACTCACCTGGCTTTGAGATAGAATCATAGAATGTTTTGGGTTGGAAGGGACCTTTAGAGGTCATCTAGTCCAACCCCCCTGCAGTGAGCAGGGACACTGCTAACTAGATCAGGTTGCTCAGAGCCCCGTCCAACCTGGCCTTGAATGTTTCCAGGGATGGGGCCTCCACCACCTCTCTGGGCAACCCCTGCCAGTGATGACTCATATTGAACACTTCCTCGACACGGAACTGTTTGAAAAGTTTCTCTTATTCCATTACAGCACCTTTCATCTTAAATCTAAACGTTGCTGCTTTTTTTCTTCTGTAATTTTGATAACCTGTTTGGATGCCGTATTTAACAGAGAGAAATATTTTCTTCTATCAGTACTCTATGAGCATTAAAAAGGAAGATACACACAACGGTTGCTTCCTGCAAAAAGATGGCAAGGTAGTTCTGGTGAAATCAAGCTTGTCGGACCACCCTTGCTTTCTGGCTTATGTACAATTCCTGTTCAGGCTCTGCAACTTCAGCCAAACGTCTATGGTTACACGTAGAAAAGCAGCAGGGGCTAAGGAATCCAGAGAGCACGTGTGCTGGTTTGCTCTATGACTGAACTCCCGCAAGAGGGTTCCGCAGTGCAAATAATTAATTCTGTTATTACCTGGTAGCTATCAACCGGAATAGATGAATTAGCAGGTTCAAAGTGCGTGTTCACCAAGCGTTATGCACATACCCCTGCATAGCCTCCAGGCAGTACAACGTGTTCAGCTGCTCAATTCCCTTTAGTATAACCTACATCTACAGAAGTGATGCAAAGGAAAACTATGCGTCAGATACACTGTAGCCCAAGAATGGAGAGGGGGGGGGAAGAAGAAAAAAAAAAAAAATTTAGTGAAGCATAAAAAAATTAAACAGGAAATTAGACTGACAGTACCGTAATTCAGGCATTTTGACTCGAAAAGGTAAGTGTTGCCATAAGAAACACTGAAAACAATAAGGAAGCTCCAAAACTGTCTTAAGTGGAATGTTTAGTTTGTTGTTTTTTTTTTTTAAATTAACCACACACGCAAGCGCAAAAGTCTGAGTGTGATCAGTCTTACAACTTCAAGATTTGTTATTTCCGCTTGGAAATACATCCGTAGCATTACCGCTTTGCATCAAATGATGCCCCGCTTACCGGGAGAACACCCATTCACTGAATGGATACCAGACGGGAGTGACAGATGCTTCAGCGTCATGCTCTTCAGCAAATGCTTATTTCACTAAGGCATTAACAATTACTGAAGTCTTCTACTAGTGGTAGCACTATCAGCTGAAAGCGAAGAATTTTGGCAAGGTTCGGGTAGGACATCCAAGGAGCTATCCAAGAGGTATTAACAGATAGAACAGGAGCGCTATTTGCTTGGTCTCACAGAACAAAACTCGGTGTCTCATGGTAGGAACGTCTGTTGCTCCTAAGCCAGGGTGCGGATCTGCCACGGGTGTGACAGGGAGCTACAGCCTCTCCCCCCCCAGTCGCACAGATGTGCAGAGAAGGGCATTTTTATCACCAGCCCTGCACCTGCAGGTTTTGGTAACTAAAATATACAGTATTTTAATGAGAACGCTTTGAGTGGAGAATGGGGCAACTTTTATTATAAAACATTTATAATAAAAATTATTGACAAGGGATAATGCATGTCTCTTCATCCAAAAGGCGAAAGTTACTCCCACTGAAGAGCGATGAGAATACCTAAGGATTCCTGCAATAGGCAAGTCATCTGGTTTACATCTACATGCTCACCCCAGTAGGGTAAAAATTCAATTTTCAAGCAGCGTACATGCAGAGCGCTTCCAGAAAAATGCTAATTTAGACAGTCTCCCATCTCAGTCGCATCGGAGAGCACGTGCTGCAAAGTCACAACAAAGAGCTACTTCAGATTTAAGGGGGGAATGAAATTAAAACGCACTGTTGCCCAATGCTGCAAACACATATGCCTACGTTAGAGTCCACGTGTACTAAATTTCAACACATCCTAAATTTAGCAAGTCTGTCAAGTCTGCACCTATGAAAATTTCTACTGAGTTTTCAGTCCTTAAAACAGTGGCATATAATGACAGACCTTAAATACAAATGGCTTATGTAATGGTACCATGTTTACAGTATTACATGTAGTGGTACAAATGGTCATTATACATAATAAAGACTTTTCAGTACTCTGTACGAAGTCAAACAAGGCAAAAAAGATGTTCCAGACAATTCGTGGTTTTGTTTCTTTTTCAAGAAGAATGAATAAAACCCGTGAAACCGGCAGACGGGCAATGAAATGTAAAAGTTTCCATATTAAAAACAGTTGTCAAAATTCTTCATGCATACACTCTGTCCTGAAGTTGTGAGGTGGCCCCATGACGTACAATCGTAAGTCTTACCCTGCGTACCTTACTTCTTAAATTGCTCAGACAGGTAGGGACTTGACTCCATTTATACATACAAACAATGATTAAATGCACTTGTTAAAAATTAAAGGCCGTTATCCAAGAGAAAATGCAGGAAACGTTACGGTGAAGGACACACGGCTTTGCTGCAATAGCAAAGGGGATCGGGCGCCTCGAAGGCCGACGCCTTGCCAGCAACAAGAGATGCTCTAACAGCTCGTCAAAGAAACAGCGGTACTCGGTAGAAAGCCTTAACACAGTAAACATAAAATAGAGAGTTCAGAGATCTTAAGTGTCTGTGCATAACTTGCCACCCACTTCTCTCCCTGCAGACAGTAGGAAAAAAAGAGTACGCTTCAGTTTTCATACTCATTGACTTAGAAACAAAGTCAGTCAAGCTTCCTACACGAATTCACACAGTGAAAAGTCCTTCCTCCAAAAATATCCAGGATCACTCAACTCAGTTTCATTCTCATACGCCATTTAAAAAACTATTAAAACTCTGAATTTTTTCAAGCAGCATATTTTTGCATTTGTCAATGGCAGGTTTGTTGTAGAAATCCTAGAAAGTTAACGTTATACCATACCGTACAAAAACATGTAAACAAAATGGATAATTTTTAAAAGGCATGCATGCTCTTGAACAGGATTAAAAAGTGTTTATTTTTGGTAAATAAAGATACCTTGCTTAGCATTTTTAAAAGCACCTTAGGGATTTAGGAGCCTAAGCCCAATTAACTTTTATTTAGATTTGGGCTCCTAAACATCTAGATCAATTCTGTGAAATTGCTTAAGCACTTTGGAAAATTTTGCCATGTCTCTAATCTTGCAGAATTGGATTTTCTGTAACCAGCAGCTAACTTCGAATCTGAGACAACGTTCAAGAATGTTTCATTAACGTAATTCAGTCATCAGCTGCAATTTTTTGGATCCTCCATAACTTAGTTTACGGTATCTATGAAAAATTTTTCCAGAGAAGGCAAGTATTTTGTGACACCACTTTGCAAGTTCCTTTTTCATAGACAACACAGGATATAATAATCAAATTTGAGCAGGAGTACGATTGTATGTTCCTTCTGAATAGCTATTAGTGTCAAAGACTGTTATTCTGTTATTTGTTCAACCTGTTAAGACTGAGGAAAACAAACTTAGAAAAACATCGGTAGCACAGCATCAGGTAAAAAGAAGGAGCATTTTTGGCACCATACATTTTTAAATCTAAGCTTTTAGGCCCAAAGTATAGCAAGTTAAACGTACACAGTGGCAGCTGGGAAAGCCTCATCTGAAATGCAACATTTTTAAAGGAAAGTTTTTTTTTGGAAGATGCTATTTTACGATCATTAGCTGATCTCCAAGTAACGATAACAATCCATAACACTGGATGTGTGAATGTTTAGCCTAAACATTCATACCAAATGTTTACATATATACCTTAGCACTCATATATACAATACAAGTATATTGCACCGACAGAACTGCCAGAGTCCATATTAATACAGTCAGGCATAAAATGCAGTGTTTTCTTTTTGCGCTTCATGAGTGTCCTGACTAACCAATTCTAATGTTTTCTTTGACATTGAGTTGCAAGGCTGCTACTGTACCTTGGGCCATAGTGTTATGGTCTGTACCTATACTTTTAAGTATTATCCTTACATTAAATGTGCTTTGCAATTCAGCGATACCTAGTTCATAGCTCTGTAAATAATCCCTTGAAAAAGGAGAAGCTTGCCTAATTTTTACAAAGTGCACAGGGCAGCCGCGGTTCTTGTCTTTTGCCACCAGGTGTCTCACCCTACACACCAAAAAACACTGCACCAGCAAGTTTATATAAATCCACCCTCTATCAAGGATCCCATAGGCACAAGATTTGCTAAAGCACTGGTAAAAATACCTCTACAGCTGGCTTTATTCTGTACTCAATTGCACGACTTCATCCAATTCACTGGGTTGGGTTTTTTCCCCTCCAAAAGTGGTCTACAGTATGCTGCAGATGCTGAAAGGACTTCTGTTTTTCTTCGTCCTCTGTTTGTTTGGTCTAAGGTTGATGACGTCTCCACCATTAAGAGTGCTAGAATTTTGGTTGGAGTGACTTCCACCAGCTGTATTAAACACACCTACAGAATTAAAAAGACAAGGGAAGTATTTGTATTTCTTTACTTCCTGCAACAGAATCCATTAGCACTTAAGACACAACGCTTACTAAGGCATAGTAGTGCACCTCAAATGCATAGTCTCGTTTTTAAAGGCTTTATCTATTTCTGGGTCAATTTTGCAGCTAAATTTGAAGTAGAGCCAGTTGGAATTACTAGCCAGGCAGTATTTAAAGCTGGTATACATCTCCGTAATTGAAGGGCAGCATATGCACTCATCTGTGTATGCTTCTAATTGCATGGTAACAAAGTTAGGGTTAGTTGAGTAACAAAAGAAAAACATGACAATTTTAAAGTTAGAAACTTTGCTGAGATTAAGGTGAGGAAAAAGCCTGAATAAAAACGGAGCACGTTAAGGAAAATAAATGAACTGCCTCAGAAATGCTTTAAAGAAGGACAACAGAAGTTCAGTGTTCCCTCACAAAAGGGCAGTTTACAAAGACCTTCTGAGTCCATGCCAGATTCTTTCACCGTGAGTCTCTTGTAAATCCGACCAAGATGAGCAACACTAATACTAATTACATTAAAAACCCCAACAAGCATCCTTTCTCAAGTCCTTACGCAATGTTTAAATGAATTTAATAAAAGGGCAGTTGCCAAACATTAGCTGGAAGCTTTAGTACATCAGTTTGACAATCTTTTAACTTCAGAGTCACAAAGCTGTTTTACAGAAGGAAAGGAGACGACATCCTAAAATAGGAAGGTAATAATAAGACCCTGATTCACCTTGTATTAACTCCATAACGAAACAGATGAGACCATAAGCTTTGATGGCACAAAATACTGTCTTCTGGGTTTTTATTACAGTATACATACCAATCTTGTTACTGCTTGTGTGTACTAGTTCTGGATCTTCAGCTGTTTGTTGCTTGAGCCTTTGAAGATATTTATCAGCCAAATACTTAAAAACTGGAAATGTTAAAAAGAAAAAAGGTCCATCAGAGTATGCTTTAAAATAATCTTTGTATCAATAATAATACCTTTGTATCAGAATTCTGCGTGGTGACAAAAGTGCATTCGATACCACAGGTTTAGCATGATCTGGTGAAGTGATTCTCTCTCTGCAGGCCTGTGTGGACCTGAGCAGAATCCAGATTAGGCCAGTGTCTACCCAGGTCTCACAGTCTGCAGTACTGGGGTCCTACACAGCAGCTGCAAACATCTCAGTACTCCCGTAATAAAGCTGGCACACACATATTGCCAAATGTTCCAATTCATGAAACTTGGAACTGTTTAAAATTATGTAGGAATTCTTTTTTTTTTTTTTTTTTTTTTTCCTCCAGGGAGCCTTAGAATAATGGCAGTCATGTAAAGTAAGGCTATTAATAAAACTTGGCAGCAACATTTTTCTAATTAACTAATGCTACCCTCATTTGTCTTGGGGTATAGAAAGTCTACCGAGGATTCTGAAAAGTCTACAACTATAAAGAGAACTTTCAGAACCTAAATATGTTACAATTGCTTACATTTGTAATTAACAACTCATGTAAAGATGATACAGAAACAATTTACATTTTCTGTTGCAGATGTTCTTTCCAAGGTGAATGATGTTAACAGAGGAGAAACAATTAGTTTACTATTAAGTTTGCCTGATTAAACAAAATTTATCAGAGACTATAATTCATGATTACTCAAACCTACCCCACAAAAAATAGTGACTGAATTTTATAACTGTACTCTTATGAAATTAAAAATATATATTAAAAAGTGATATTTGGGAACTAGTAACATATCATCAATAGACAAAAGGCTGCATGAGATCCAATCTTTTAATGTACTCTATTTAAATATAACTAAACTATGAAATAACTCTTTATAGCATTTATTCACTATTAACAATTACAAAATAATCTGTTCAACAATTTGCATATTGTAATAATTGAACTTCCACATACCATTTTTTTAAAAGCTTGGTGCTTACTGACAGTCACTAGAACTAGGCAGCCTTAACACACTGGCATTTCTAAATATCAAATCTACGCACTGTTTGTGAAAGAGAAAGATGTACACAAAGAAACGGGCCTAACACACCAATACCAAGTAATTCTAGCTTTGTTTAAAGTGTGCTGCTAAGAAATATAGAAACGATTGCCAACAGCATGCAACAACACGGGAAGTAACAGATCAGCTCCAAACGAGATGGGACGGCGTGGGCAGGACAGATGCCTGCTCTGCTGTATCTCGTACCTTCAGTTACGTTTAGGTCTTCCTTTACAGATGCTCGGTAGAACCTTAATTTTAGCTTTTTTGCCAGTGCTTCTGCCTCTTCGCTGCACAACAGAAGAAGACTTTGTAAATACTGATTTGTATTATTTGTCAGCATTTATCCTCATGGACAAAATGCTTCGTGGTAAGTTAAACATGGCAAGGTGGGTTAAGAAACTCAATCAAAAAATACACAATCCTTAATTTCTTTACAATATCTCCACTATAACAAGAAGGTATTTTACATGCAGTTTCTTTATGAACAGAAGTAATTGCTTTTCAATATTTACTGACCTAACTAAAATTTCCCAAGGGTTTGAAGCCAGGTGTCAATGAAACCAAAAGGAAAGAGGATGTAATTAACAGCACTAGAATCAGAACAATTACCACTGCAAAGTCAAAACAACAACAAAAAAGTAATCCTTGAGTATATTTTAAGAAAGCAGTAGACTATGCAATCAGATGAGTGCAGAGATGAAATCAAGAATCACTTTTTTTTTTTCTGTGAAGTGAAAGAGAACTTGTGCTAAATTTTAAGGAAAAGCTGACAAAACTTAAGAAAATTTCACCAAGGCAAATCACGTCTTCAGAAAGATGAAGTTACTGAGGCAGATGGAGTATTCTGAGAGCAAAACCTAAGTGACATACCATGAATAAAGGAGGAGTTCAAATGCAATTTTGCTTTTCCTTTGAAAAATCCTCAGTATTCTTTGCAGAGGGAGTAGGAGCTGATTTATGCCATCAATGACAGCAAACAGAGAACAAAGAAAGCCAGTGCAGGAAACAACAAAAAGAAGAAACAATTTAAATCTCTCAGGAAGATGGAAGAAACAAGGAGGTGGAGAACGATCAACTTCATCATGCAATATTTTCTACACGATACGCTGCGGTAAATAAAAGTTAGCATTTGTTAAGCTGATTTTATGGCAAGACGGAAACTGGTCATATATACAAAGGCAGAATGAACTGACAGTAAAATCTGCAAAGAAAAATAAAGCGAAGAAGGATCAGCACCATGCAGCCTGAGAATATTAAGATACATATTTCTATAGAGTTACAGTACTTTGATAAAAATGAGCAATACAAATAAAGTGAAGCAGAGAGTATTAACGTACTTTTTCAAACAACCTGTTTAATAGTTCTTCATCATTTTAGCAAGCATTCACTAGACAAACTAGACAATGTAACTTCACTGGTGCACAGCACAGTTTAACAGTAACTGTAAATTTTACCAGGAAAGAAAATTCAGTTTTAGAATTTCAGCTTAAAAAATGCCTAACCAGCCAACCTGAAGGTAACTATACCACGGTACAAACAAACTCTTCATGCTATTCCTTTTTTTGGCTGACACTTCAGAAGAAGGCATGAAGCAAACAGAAAGCTCCAAGCTTGGCAAGCACATCTGCCCAAGTAACTACGCTCATGCAGCAATACCTGTCATCTGTGCTTCTAGGGCACGTTTTGATGCAGAGCATAGGTTTGATAACCTAGATATCCTAAGTCTTCACCAGAAACTTCCACAGATTTTTTTTTGTTGTTGTTAAACATGTGTATAACGGGGGGCATATATATTGTTCTTTAAAAACAGTAAGATAAAACTCCTACTTCTTTATGCAAGAGTCATCAAGAAGATCAATCTTATTCTGCACAAGAACTGTGGGAATGTCTCCAACTTCAGTCATGACTTTCTCCTTCCAAGTAGGTATTGCTTTGAAGGAGTCTCTGTCAGTTGTAGAAAACACAAGAACACAAGCCTGGGCTCCTAAAAATATACAAATCAATTACAAATACAAATAAATACAAATCAACCAACAAACATTAAAAAAAAAAAAAGAATCCTCACATATAGAGTATTTCAAATATGAGGCATTTTTCAAGTTTCTCCCATAAAAGTGCACTTTTACCACTGACTTGTGTCAAACCAATGGTCATAAAATCCCCAAATGAAAACAGATTGCCATATTATTTTAATCATTATACCCATTCTCTATGATGGCTACGGGTCTGTTACCTTTCAAGCTATTTCCAGCATGGTGCATGCAGGGGAAAGGAATAGGAGGGGTGTGCAAAAGCTGGAAAAAGGGAGAAGGAGGCTTGCTCATTGCTCACTGTCTCCCAGACAGCTTAACAGAGGCCAGAGGGCAAATATTTTTCCGTACACAGTATCTGTAAAGCACGCTTCACGTTATTCTTTGTGCTACAGTAATTTGGATTTTGAAAAGCAGAAAACTTCCAAGTTTTCAGAGAAAGTTGCGATTATTTCAAGTAAGTCGTTCAGTAGCTTTTTGAAGAAAGTAAGTGTATTTCTAATTCATACACATTCTATCATAGCACTATGATAAATTACACAAAATGTTTTGTACCATTCTTGTTATGGTTTTGTTACAGCCTTAGCAAAAAATAGTTAAAACCCATGGATACTGAGAAGGTATTTCCACACTTGAAATGTCAGTGAGTGGTCTTTTGACTGTCCAGTAGCCCTTTGTTATCGTCAAGAAACTAGTTTTCTTTGCACATAAACACATGGAGAAACACATTATTATTTATATGCCTTTAATAGACTTAATATTTAGTAACAGAGTGTAGGAATAGACAGCTAATGTCTTTGAGACTCCAGTGTTACCATGTGGCAGATATCCCAATCAAATTAAATCTAGCATGAAAAATTATTTCAATCAGTATGAATTTTCTTTTATCTCTTGAGTTTCATAAAGTATCCCCCATTCCTGTATTCTGTTTGTATTTCTTTGACACAAAGCATTCAAGTTCTTTTACTAGGTTTCCTTTTATTTATCTTTTAAAAGCCAAGTTCAGTCTGTCTTTATCAAAATTTTCCTATGCTCTTTAACATTCTTTCACGTGCCATTAAGACCCTTCTGGGATGGTTTTATATAGAATAATAAGAACCACCCTTGGAATTTCAAGTCAAGCTCTACCAATAAAACAGTAGCAATGTTGTCTTCCATAATTTTCCCTATTACTTGTGTCCTAAAATTCTGTTTTCCCTGATGTTCACACCAGATTCTAACATAGGCAATTCCACCTAGAATCCTGTGAGATAGGTGTAAAATTAATTATTCTTTCCAAGGCACGTTATTTTGCATTTGTCAATGCTGAATTTAACCCGTCGTCTCACAGTCTAACTTAAAGCCTCTCAAGGTCTTCGCTCTACTGGAGATGAGAATATTTATTAAAAGACTCTCACCACTTGTAAACATCATCTTGTTCAGTTTTAAGACCAAGAAATCCATTGTGAAGTTTCCACTCTAAAGCACTTTCACTTCATCTCTCTCCTTCCACTCATTCCAATACAGAAATAACTTGGTAATAGTAAGCTTAGAGGGAAAAGTCCTAGCATGTGGTAGGTGAAAAGGGGGTGGCTTACAACATCAGACCTCCTTATTCAACTTAGATATAATACATATAAAATGCAGCGGACAGGGACAGTAAAAATAACTCAGCTTGGCTACATCGCTTTTCAAAGAGAATTACAGGATAGGCTCTAATTAGGAATCAAACTGAAATATTTTTGAGGACCTTTAAGATTCTGACATTTAAAGGTTCTTACCAGGAAGTTATCAAACAACAGTAAATGAAAGTGTCCTTCCTCGTCAAGAGATACACCCATGTATCAACAATGACAAATTCTATACATATATTCTATATGTAATCGTGTATTTCCAAATGTCTGCTGAAGGTTTTGATCACTGGATTGTAAGAAATACAGAATTTACTAAACCAATAACCCTGCAAAATGCTTATTTAAGAAGAACAGAGTATTCTTCCCATGCTCAAGTCAGGTCTCACTAGCAGTATCCAAAAGAGGGCTGCCTTGCTCCAAATCAGACCAGAACAGTCTTGCAGCCCTCCCATTATCATAGCTACTACAGCCGAAAGTGGCTGACAAGTGCAAGCTCGAGCAATGCTATGAAGGCTTGAGAAAGATGAAGTTTAACTATTGTGCAACAAAATGAGGAGCCTGAGAATTTGACTGATCAGCCACTGAATAACAGACTAATGAGCAAGGCTCCTGTTTTCCATCAAAAGCCTAACAAGGGTCTACTCAAGATATCAGTAGCAGCGGATGGAAGAGGTTGCACACGCAAAGAAGTGATCAAATACTGCTTTGAGAAACACCTGTAACATGGACAGAACACACGGCGATGCTAGTGACTGCCACTTGTGTACATGCTTAGCGTATAAATGTATGGACAGAACACACGGCGATGCTAGTGCAGTACTGCCACTTGTGTACATGCTTAGCGTATAAATGAAGTACCTAGCCATTTAGAAAAATGTGTGACTTCCATCGGAGAGAAACTGGCAAGATGCATAATACAATATAAAAAAGAAATGATTAAATACATACAGATCTTCCTTCAACTCTTTGAATTTAGGCTGCTGGACTCCTTGCGTTGTATGATCATGGGCATGCAGCTACACCAGCTGCACATATTCACCCGTACACAGAAAATCACGACCAGACAAATCCACTGTCAGCTCCAATTTTGTTTCTCTGCAAGGCTGAATTTGATCCGTGAACAAGAAGGGCTCAGAAACAGGCTCTGAAGCATTCATTGGGTGATGACAGATGAGCAGCTGATCCCTGCAGAACTGACAATACACGAGGTTCCAGGAGAGGTATGTAAGCCCTAGTGTAATGATAGTGGGACAGTGACCTGCAGGAGAGGCAGACCTTGAAGTAGCAGCTAGCATCTATCTTACCTACCGTAGAGGCATCCTCTCCTTATCATCAATAATTGGCAATGAAATCCTTGCATTTCCAGAGTAAACTTGACCTTTTGCTGCTAGAATATTGTGCTCGCAGACCTGATGCTAAACCAAAATTGCATTCCACACTCTTGTAATTTAGCTTGTCCTCCATGAGTCAAAGTCTAGCACAGAACAGTCACTGTATCTAACAGCTTGAACTGTTAACATATCCATCATGCTGTCTACAACATGCATCCACAGGATGACTATGCCCTAGTCCACAGCAGCCTCCTCAGTATAAAGATCTTGAAGGCAGAGATCTAACTGCACTATGCTGGGCACGAGTCATGAGCAAGATTTCAAAATACTCAAGGTATGTAGTAAGTGAGGATAGTAAGTGTACTTTAAAGTTCTTCTGAACACTCCGTATTTTAGCATATCAGTCCCAGTAATTAGGAGAAAAAGACTTTGGCTTGGAACAAATGAGGAGAGCAACGCAAATAAGAGACCTGAAGGGCAGGAGAGTAAAAAGGAAGCTCTAAGAGAATCAATTCAAAACATACTCTAAAATTCATATGCTCAACTTGTCAGCTGTAAAATAACAGAATTATCTACTTTCACGTGAGGATAAAAAGTAGTAAGAGAAGTATCTTTCTGTGAAGAAATGATAATCACCAATTACGAGTGACAATCAGAAATATGACCAAAAGACCAAACAAACCTATTAGTTGCAAAAAAGGATCATGAAACATAAAAAGGTCAGAGGACTATACCACCCCAAAACAGCACAGCGTAACTATTATTTTATCTCTAAATGAGGTAATTTTTTCTAACGTTTCATACCATAGTGATATATTTTTCCCAGCCATCAGGTAATTAGTTTGACAAGAACTGAACGATGGAATCTTTGCCAAGTCATTCGTATCTCTCATGTTAAAAAACAAAAAGGAAAGATTTTCACAACAAATTATATGCAAAGAAAGCCATAGCATGCAATTTGTAACTGGCTAAATACATCACCTCCCTTTATATGACTGAAGTATATTGTTTCTATTTTATGAAGTAAATACACTTTCCTCATTACTCCGTTGTGTTAACGTGTTCAAAGTAGTCTGTACCAGCAAGAGAACTGTTGTGCCTAGTAAACTATCTTTGTATTAGTCCCTTGGATTCATTTCTAAGTGCCTCAGCTGTAATTTTTGGGACATTTACAAATATATGTCTTACAGAAGTAAGAAAACACTTTTAGAGGGAGAACTATAATTTTACATCTGATGGCCACATTCTGTGCAGTTTCTGGGCAGCTATTTGTCTCATTTTGTTCTATGCTGTTTAAAGGGCACTACTGAGCACCCTGCATAAAGTGACACTTAATTAAGGCAAGGGTCTTACATGAAGGGGAAAAACATTTAAGAACTGAAACAGGTGAACTAAAAACGCTTTGCACACACATGGAATAACTAAAATTCTTAATACAGAGAGAGGAAAATATCCCAGAGATGTGCAGACCAAAAAAAAAAAAAAAAAACCAAAAAAACCAAAAAAACCAAAAAAACCAAAAAAACCAAAAAAACCAAAAAAACCAAAAAAACCAAAAAAACCAAACAAACCCAACTGGCAAATAACAATCATGGTTTTTCACCTCTATAGTAGGCCTTCGTTATTGCATCAAATTCTTCTTGACCCGCAGTGTCCCATAACATTAGCCTGACATCTTCGTCATTAACTCTGAAATAAACGACACGGGTTTGTAATCAATACAATGAACAAGCACAATTCAAAACAACTGACATGGACCTATTCCTACGTCTACAATATAAGAGCAATTCAGTTCCAATTTAACTTCATTTGAAGACAATGTAACTTAATACTGATAGCGGTTCACCTCTGTAACATGCCATGGCAGCAGTCCCTCAGTTACATTACACATGCTCCTTCCTGACAACCCGTATTAGATTTCCCCCTATGAGGAAAAATAATAGGCCTCAAAACAAAACTTAGGTGCCTGAATAATGGTCCTTTGTCTTTTTAATCAGTTCACAACATTCATGGAGGTTTCTTACTTCTCATTGCCATAGTATTTCCCATTTTATCAAACATAATTGGGTATGATCTCTTTATGTTACAGAAAGAGACTAAATCTACAGTGCATTTAATTTTTTTCCCCATGGCCATTTTAATCTATATTGGCTAATAAATTTGTGTAATTGTTTTATCATAAACACTTCCACTTCCTCCACAAGAAATTAAAAAACAAACCAAACCAAAACAAGTAAGTAGAATATAAAGGAAACTTGTCAAAAAGCTTAGTACGACAGAGGTTCCAAATTTTATTTTGTTCTTTATTTATAGTTCTAAATCTTATATGGAAAACAGAGTGATATAATTTCAGCCCACTGTGCAAGAGAAAACCACAACTCCCTTTACTGTGCTTTGAGGACAGCAGGCCTTGTTTCAAGCCTTTGTAAATCTTAGGATTCCAACAGAACAAAGAAATAGAGGGAAAGGTAAGACTCAACAGTGTGGCGTCTGTTTAATACATACTGGATTTGTCTTTCCAGGAAATCCACGCCAATAGTTTTCTTGTAGTCTTTTGTAAAAATCCCCTTGCAGTATCGTTGAATCATGCTGGACTTTCCAACAGCTCCATTGCCTACTACCACCACCTTGATGGCCACCTCCATATCTTCTTCCAACATCTTTGCAGCCCAAGTGACTCTCTAGCTTATTCAGGAAACTACCGATTCTGTAAACAAAGCAAACAGCTATGTTCGTAAAAATGCTGCGAATGGAGAGCAAGAGGAAATACAATTGCACATTAGGATTCACAAAGGCTGTACACCTTAATTTTCAGCTCTGCCACAGACTGCTGAAGTAACCTCGGGCAAGCTATTTAGCCAGTCTGTACTTTGATTTGCCACTTATTAACTGGAAATTAATATATTTTCATTAAAAGTATCCTTCCACTGTACAAATGTATTATCATATGTTGATTATGTTCCCGATGCTCCACTGCTAACACATACAAGACGCTCAACGCATCAACCTAGCACGTAGCGTGAGACTGAAGTACGTCGACTTCTGACTTCAGCCACTGTTCCCCTATACCCAGTTCAGGTATCGTCACACAACACCAGCGCCGGCGCTGTGAAGACAGAAACCCGTATCATTCTGTGATTATATCCCTTACTCCAGTTCTTATGAACTTGTCTAAATCTGTCTTTCTGAGGAAGTTGAGAAAAATCATAATGAAATAAGTTTGTGCACTCTTATGCATTTAATTTCAATTAATTTTTGGCATGTGAAACAAAACACTGAATGTGTAAACATTATTGGGTAATTCTGAAGATAATGCATTTTCCAAAGGTCTTTTTTTTTTTTAAAACAAGAAATTGAATGATCCAACTGTCTTAAAAGAGTTTAAACTTTTAGATAATTGATCTTATTGATACTCAATACACGTCATTTACATTTTAAAAGTCTATATCCGAAACCTATGAGGTGTGACCATAATCTCACCTCACACGGCCACTGCAGGGGAGCCACCTAATTTCTCCCAAAGTTCGCAGCGCAAGCGGTTATAGCGGACACGGAGATTTTTCTATCCCAATGTGCAAAACCAGAAGATGATTTACTGGGCTTACTGGAAAGGTATTTCACTCAAGCTTTAACTAAAATCCCAATGTGCAAAACCAGAAGATGATTTATTGGGCTTACTGGAAAGGTATTTCACTCAAGCTTTGCGTGGTGGTGGGTTGGTGGGTGTTGGTTTTTTTTTTTAATGAGGAAGAAGCGGAGGCGCACACGAAAGCGAAGGTTCCCCCGCGTTTTGCTGTGCCGGGGGTACCGTCGCAGTAACGCTTTGGATCTGCAGAGCAGCAAGCCCCCTCCCAGGAGGTCAGCAACCCTCCTTCCAAAGGAGGGGGAAACGCACCTTTCCCAAAGCCTTC